GTTATTTTCTGAGGTCATTGATTGGGTTGGAGCGGAAAATGTTGTTCATGTGGTGACCGATAATGCATCCAACTATAAATTGGCAGGGACAATGATACATGAGCATTATGGTCATATATATTGGACTCCTTGTGTTGCTCATACTCTTAACTTGATCTTGAGTGACATTGGATCTATTCCTCATGTTAAGAAGCTTGCCTATCGAGCTACCAAGGTCTCCAAATTTGTTTACAATCATGGTCCAATTTATTTCTGGTTGAAGACAAAGGAGAATTGGAAAGAAATAGTGAGACCTGGTGCTACTAGATTTGCTACTACATTTCTGAGTTTGCAGAGTACTTTTGAGCACATGCATGATTTGGAGGAACTGGTGATTAGTGAGTTCTTTAGAGAAAGTGATCTTTCAAGTACTAAGGATGGAAAGGATGTGAAGGCAATTGTACTAGATCAACAGTTTTGGGCTGATTGTGAATTCATTGTTAAGTTGACAGCTCCGATTGTTAAGTTGCTTCGAGTTGTGGATTCAGATAGTACACCAGCAATGGGGTATGTGTATGATGGGATGACTAGGGTGTCAAATGCTATTAAGACTGTTTGTGGAGATAAGGAGGAGATGTACAAACCATACATGGATATCGTTAATAGGAGATGGGATAAGCACTTGAGCCGTGATTTGTTTATGGCAGCTCACTATCTTAATCCGGCTATGAAGTATGCTGAAGATTGGACAGAGGATAGGGCGGTGACATTTGGACTTCTTAATCTTCTTGAGAACTCGTCTTTATGTCCTGATAATAGTGTGGTGGTGGCGGAGATGAATTTGTATGCTGAAAAGGAAGGAAACTTTGGGAGGAAGTTGGCAATAGATTCTGCACAGGAACAACAACCAGGTAATTGATATCACTTACATTGAAGTTCTTCTATTTATTACAATATTTAAGAAACTAACATCTATGTTTTATATGTAGATAAGTGGTGGAAATGGTTTGGCATTGATGCTCCAAATATTCAGAAGTTGGCTATTCGAATTCTTAGTCAAACTGCTGCTTCTTCTGGCTGTGAACGTAATTGGAGTGTCTTCGAACGTGTGCATACCAAAAGAAGAAACAGATTGCAGCATAAAGTGCTTAGTGACTTGGTGTTTGTGAATTACAACTTGCGATTGCAGAATAGGTAATGATTTGAATTATAGAACTTGTGTGTTGAATTCATACTTTCTATGCTTACTATTGAATTGAATTATTTTATGTTTTCTACTTTGATTAGGGAGTATTATAACAAGAACAAAAAAGTATCATATGATCCCATAAGCCTTGAAAGCATTGATTCTACTGTTACTAGTCACTGGTTGTCACAAGGGGAAGAAGGTTCATCATCTAGGGAAAAGGAATTGGATATTGACGAGCTGGATCGAGCATTAGAAGAGGAAGGTTTGTTTGTAAATCAATTATGTATGATATGAATTCTAATACTAATAATTGATAATAATTCTTACTTGTTTTCTCTTGTATTGTAGTTGGTGATGAAGAAGATGAAGGGGACGACTTGCAGAATGTAGACTTATCTACATTTGGTGTTGTTTGACGATATGAAACGTTGTTTGTGAACATTGTAGTGCTTGCTAGTTTGTGTTTGTAGTAGTTGTGAACTTGTGGTTTGAGAATGTTGTTTGGTTTGATAATGTTGTTTGAACTTGTGGTGTAAGAATGTTGTTTGGTTGTTTTGTACTTGATCGTAAACATGCATTTGAACGATTATTTAGTTACTTCAGTAATGTTGCAGTTTGTTAAATTTTATATTACATATGCTTATTTAGTTTATTCAGGTTTGTTATCCGGTATATTCCGGTTTTATTCCGGTATTATTCCGAAACGGTATCACAAATCTGCCGGTACGGTTTTTTAACAAAAAAATATTATTTAATTACAAAAACGGTATTTTGCCGGTACACAACGGTTGAACCACGGTAGTACCACAAAATACCCTACCACTGGCGGAGCCGGTATGACTTCCGGTACGGTTTCCTTTACCATGCAAATAAGTCATTTTTTTTTCACAGGCTGTTCTTCTTCCCCACCATCTCCTTCGTCTTCTTCTTTCCTTCCTATCTACTTCTTCACAAAATTTCAAGATTCAAAACCCCTCTTCTAAATCTGTTGACGGTGACTCTCGATCCACCGGCGGTGACATCATCTTCTAGCACCAGTCATCCCACATCACTCGTCACTTCGATTCTAGATCGAGAAACTGAAGACCCAAAATCCCCAGCCGCCAAGAAAGCTAAATCAACCTCTGCTCCATCATCCCCAGCCTCTGCTCCGTCAATCCGATCCCTGCTATTGTCTCACTGGCTTCACGCGGTGACCTTGCATGGAGAGCCAGAGATTGAAAGAGGCCAGAGATCGACCTGCTGTGGGATCTAATTGACTCCCCTTGTGGTCAAATTTTTTTATAGCGAAATTGGATTCTCTTTCCCTTGTAAATCTGTGAGATTCTTGTCACGCCTAATCGGAGAAAAGCACATCCATGGAATCTGACGAGCGGCGGCCAGGTGCTCCCTGATGTGGGTCAACTGGTGCTCACCGTAGGAAGCAATTAGGGGGTTTTTTGGTTTTGAATGTTGGATTTGGGTTTCTGAGATGGAGAAAAGAGGAAGCGCGCAATGGAGGCGGTGGTGATTTTGTGACAGACTCAGTAGGAAGCAGGGATTTGCGTGATTTGGGAAGGCAGGGCGGGTTCGAGCTCTCTCCAATCGGCACGGGATTCGTCATCTGCATCCTCTAGCGAAGACGAGCTAACAGATGGAGTCAGAGAGATAGAGATTTTATCCGGCGTAGATGCCATCGACAAAGAAAAAAGGGTACATTCATATGTATTTGTTGAATTCAGAGGAGGAAGGGAAGGTTCCAGGGCGACGGTGGCGGCAGTGTTATGTAGAAGGAAGAAGAAAAGAGGAGGGATAAGGGCTCAAGATAGGGTGCATAACCCATGGTTATGCACCCATCAGTAACTAAATCTGGACCCTTCATTTAGAAAATACAGATCTAAGGATGAAAAATTAAAGGTCATTTTTATTTTCACTAGTTTTCTTAATTGACTCATATCTTTTTCGTTTTAACTCGGATTTTAATTTTTTTTGCACAGATGGAACGAGTTCATCATGCTCTACAAAATGAGATCAATTTTCAATATTTTTTTAGGAAAAAAAATTCTGGCCTTTCGATACCAACTGCATACCATATGGTATTTTCTTCGTTTTTCATTCGTTTTTGAAAACGTTTGCACAGCAGGGACGAGTTCATCATGATCTATTGGATCTACAAATTTCTGGGTGAACAAATTACAAGACCAAAAAATACCACACAATACCATACAATACCACCCTGGTACGGGGTGGTATTTTATGGTATACAATGTTAAAAGTCGTAAATGACAATTAATATACTTCTAATATCATGTATTCAATCATACAGTCTTGGTTTGTGCCATACCACCATGGTACGCTTTTCAAATCATAGGTATGCTCTTATTTCAATACCAGTCAATACCATATGGTATAGAATGGTATAAAATGACTCAATTATTTTTTGTTCGAAAAATATATCAAAGTGGATATCATTTTGAAGAGCACAATTAATCTGATCTAACTGTGCAAAAAAATTAAATTTCGACTTAAAACGAGTGAGAAATCATCCGTCAAAGATTAAGGAGGGGAAAATTAAAGACTTTCCAGGAGAGAGAGTATGCTGATGTCATGCTGATGTGGGCGGATTACTCATAGTTACTCACCATAAAGTTACTGACCTGATCCATTCCCAGGGATAAGGGTTTAGCATTTTTTCGAAAATATTAATTAAAAACATAAACATATGCATTTACTTATTAATTTATTGGGGTAATGTGGCAGTACACACCTGAACTGAGGTGTCCATTAAGTGTACTTCTGTTAGTTCTGCCGTTAAATCTAACGGGAGATGACTATTATTATGTAATGTTATCAAAGAGTTGGCTAAGTTTTCGTATTTTTATAGGTGTGGCTAATATTTTGAAATGGAAACAAGATTTGGCTAAAAAAATAGTATTTACCCTTACTAGAATGCATGGGAATATTAGAAGAGATGGTGTACTAGTGGTAAAACTATAAAGTTGTGACTCTGGTATATAGGAACATGAAGTTGCTCCATATTGACTTTCTTACACTTCGAGCTTAGCTTATCTTTAATTTGGGTCTACTTACAGTTCATTTATTTGTTTGTTTATTTAGACGCTTTATCAAATTCATAGTACTTAAAATGAAATGTAAATTTTTCTTGGATAATGTCTATTTTTATCCAAACCTTTTCAAATTCTTTTATATTATCCAAACCATTAAAATGCTATCAATTAGCCAAATCTTTCGTAATGCATCAAAATATTAGCAATTTCTGCGTAATTGTTAATAATTTTATAATTCTTTTCTTAGTTAAAAAAACTAAAATTTTGGAATGTTGATCTTCATGTGTCTCTTCCAAGTTATTATCATGTTTCCAAGTCAATATTATTAACAAAATTACTAACAGAAAGTTAACATTTGGCTAATTCTTAGTATTTTGATAGGTTTGGATAGATAAAAGAATCTGAAAAAGGTTTGGATAAAAATAGATATTACCCATTTTTCTTTGTGAGATTTAGCTAGTTGACAAGGTTGTTCTCGACACTCTTTTTTATGGGATGACAAATCCAATTCATTTCAATTCTTTTAGATTTGCACTCTACTCTGAGTAAGAATTCGTCCGATTTTTATTTGCAAGTTCCCTATCACGACCTATGTAACAAGTTACACCAAGTAAAAAGTGTAGAACAATTAGCTCATAAGGACCGCCATTAACATAAATTATAGTACAATGCACAAAGTATAATTTATATGTTATATCGTCACAAATGTCATAATCCAAAATGGCTTAATCTTTTTCCTTGTAAAAGGCTGGCAAATAATCCTTTTCCTTGCAATGTTATACTCTGTGCTTTCTCTAAGCCTTCATCATCGTCAGCTCTTCCAAGTCCCGGACTGCTTCCTCCACTGCGTAAACCATCATTTTCTTAATCTGTTCATCAGCAAGCAACCATATAGAAATATTTTTTTTATCAACATTGGACAACACAATTACTTGATTTCCCAACTAGTAATGCTTATGTTTTACCTCAAGTTTGTCCTCCCTTGCCCTGTGGTTCTTGGGAAGTTGTCGGAACTCCTCTGTTAATCGGAGGCACTCCCTCACATTCTCCGGGGAAATGAAATCCACGGCGACTTTCGTGCACGACTTGAGAGTGGACACATGATCACAACAAACAACAACAATAATGACAATGTTGTCATTCACTATTAACCTCTCCACAGCCTAATGACTAAAATACACTTTTAGTCACCAAAATATCTCTAAAAGGGGGCTAAATAGGATTTTAAAGGGTCATTTTAGGTTTAATTTGGGTTGGACTGGAAAGGGGCCAAATTTGTGGAGACCACCTATAGAAAAAGCAACTAATGATTTAAAAGAGGGCTAAAGTATTGGGAATTGAGAGTGAACAAAAAGACACACAAACCGACTAATCTGTCCAACCCGACCCAACACACCTGTATTTATTGCTAAAACTAAGGTTTAATGTTGGATGAGGGTTTTCTTTTGTACAACCCGTCACTTTTGAGTTGGCGTGGATTTTGGGTTACACAACTCGTAGAATCAAACCCACCCGTTTTTCATCTATTGGCACGAGTGTTCATCTCGAAAACATATTAATGCCCCATATAAGCATATTTGTGAAAAAATTAAGATATTTTGTTATTTTGTACACTCCTAGTGGGGACGGTTGCTAGAAAAAACAATCAATTATATACAATGGGGGCAAAAGCTGTGGGGACTGCTTTTCAATTACATCTTTTTAATTTTGTAGTTATTTTTATGTAGTGTTTAGACCACCCACAATGCAGGTTGATAAAATGAGAAAAAGGAGAAATTTCCCCACAAAATGGGTGGGAAAGATGGAAAAAGGGGAAAAGAATGAGGTTTATCCAAAAAAGGAAGGGGAAGGGGTGTGGACAAAAAGGGAAACGACCGGAGGGTTAATTGTTAGATTTGTATTTGTCCCCAACAGACATAATTAGTGATAAAAAAAATTATGTTGAAATTAAAAAAAAATATATCGAAATGTTCTTAGTAATTATAGCTAACTACATAAAATAATGATCATTATATAAAAAATAAAGTGACAAAATCAAATATAGATTGATTTAACAAAAAAGTGTTAAACCAATGGTGGGGCTGAGGCCTGAGAGAGAGTATTGATCTTAACCAATTATTGGGTTCCATTGACTTCTTTCAGAATTCCTTTAGTCCCTGCAGAATGAATTGAACTCTTAATACAGGCAGTTGGTCAGGAATGAACTTGACGGTTTTCAGGAGTTTCCTGCAGGTCAAGTGCGGAGAAGAATTATTCCGAGCAAAGTTTGTTTCTTCCTGTGGTTAGTGTATCATAATAAGTTCCTCGCCGTGGATAATCTGAAAAAAAGAGGTTGGAGCTTGGCGAATAGGTGCGCTATGTGTCAGCAGAAGGAGGAGAAAATTCTTCACTTGTTCTTGGAATGTGTTTATGTGAATAACGTGTGGAGGGTCATTTTCAGATTGGGGCTGAACTCAGTTGGGGAGGAGGCAGATATTGTGATGACTATTAAAAAATGCCATAGTGTGGATCTGAGCAACACGGAGGAGTGGCTTGTTTCATGCTTACTTCATGCTGTGTGGTGGTTTGTGTGACTTGAAAGAAATCAGAGGATTTTCGAAGATAAGAGCCGGGTTTCTTCTTTGGTGGCTAGGAAGTTCAAAAGGATGTGGTTACGAGCTGGTTAAGGAAAAGGGGCTTCAATTTCTAGTGACTTGCTGATGTTGTGGAGGAGGTTGGGCCTCAGAAAGGTGGGGTTTGTTTGTTGAGTGCTCATTTCGGGGTGGTGTGGGGGCTTGGTTTGGCTTGGTCAACAAAATGGCCCCTGCTCCCTTTGCAGGTTGTTTTGACGGGTGCTTGTTGTCTCCTGTTTTGGTGGGCTGCTCGTTCATTTCGGTGATGGTGTGCGTTTGGCTAGCAGGAAATTTCAAGTGTATCAGGACTAGCATCTGCAGGCATAGTTAGTAAAAAAGGGGGGGAAACACGTATAATACGCGTATGTATGCCCGTTTCTAGCGTAATTTATGTCGTTTGCCGTTTTTTAATTGTTCATTCCGTATTATACGCGTTAATTAACCTCTCTCCGTACATATATATACTCATTGAAAGAGAAAGATTATTCCAACTTGCATAATTCTTTATTAAGATGTTTAGTTGTTTACGTGGCTTAACTTGGGAGATTTTCCCATGTGATTATTGTCTGCATCTTTTACTTTAAAACTTTAAATATTTTTAATTTGATAATTGGAAGGATGACATGGCAGCAGGCATGTAGGCCACGTTAATCCTTTGTTTCTTTTGTTTATTTCTCCCAAGTCTCATCCATTTTTTATATTTCTACCGAGTAAATTCTGAGTTTTAGTCTTATACAGCAAATTCATTAATATGATATGTTACATTTGTGTCAGGGCGTCGAAGTTATGGTTCGGAAAAAGGACAAGTTTTGGGATTATGCAGATCAGCTAAATGGAAGATTCAAGTGCAAGTTTTGTGAATTTGATTTTGCTGGAGGTGTCCCTAGAATCAAGTCGCATTTGTCTGGAATTAGAGGACGGGATATAGAAATTTGCACGAAGGTCCTCAAAAATGTTCAAGCAGAAGCCTGTTTAGCTGTCAATGGTTCAAAAAAGAAAGCTAAAAATGATGGGGATCAAGCAACCTTAACCAGAAGGTTGATAATCCTTGTGCATCTACCATATCAATAGGTTTGCAACAATCATCTGTTCCAGGCATGTTTAAGAGAAAAAAAAGGTGTTGATAACTTGCTAGCTAGACACATAATTTTGAACAATGTTGCCTTTACTGTTGTTCAAACTCGTAGCTTTGTTGATTTCGTGAGGGGTGTTGCTGAGTATGGTATTGGTTATAAATTGCCAAGCTATTCAACTTTTCGTGCAAAATTGATTCCCGAATGCAAAAAAAAGTTGAAGAATACGTGACAAATGTGAAGCAAACATGGGAGACATCTGGGTGTACATTGATGTCTGATATATGGTCTGATATGAAGCTGAGGTCTTTTATCAATATTATTGCATATTCACTAGGAGGAGCAGTATTCTAAAATTCCTTTGATATATCTCAAGATCGAAAGACCGGCTTATTTCTTAAAGATATTATGTCTTCTGTTATTGATGACATTGGAGCTAATCATGTGGTTCAGTTCATTACTGATAATGCTTCCAATTTTGAGTCAGCTGGTGATATGCTTATTGGAAAGTATCCGCCGCGTATGTATAAGACGCGTTGTGCAGCTCATGGAATTCAAATTCTTCTTAGTGATATATATGAAAATGTTCATTGGGTCCGTGATGTTTTTGATTATGTGAAGTCTATAGTTACTTATAACACTATTGTGTTGACACTAATGAGAGAAGCTACAACAAGGAGTTGAAGCGCCCATGCGTGACCAGGTTTGCTTCCAACTATTTGATGCTTCAATCTATATTTGCTGTGGAGAATGAATTGCGTCTATTTGTTGCATCTGCGGAATGGAGAGGTCTAGATTATAGCAAGAAAGAAGCAGCAAAAAAGGTTACAAGTATTATTCAGGATCCTGAGTTTTGGATTCAAGGATAAGAAGTCTTGAGTATTTTGGAGCCTTTGAATCATGTGGTAGATGGTGATGGATCTACAACAGGATATTTGTATGAAGCAATGGAGCTAGCCAAAGTTGCAATCAAGGAACTCTCTAAAAATGACAAAGAAAAATACTGGATAATGTGGGAACTCTTTGAGCAAAGAAGAGTGGGATTTCACTGCAATTCATGCAGCTGCAGCTTTTCTTAATCCTGCATATATGTGTAGTAGCAATTTCACTGAGGATCGAGAGATGAAGAGTGGGATTAGTTTCATGCACTAGAACTTGGTAAAAGTGGAGGAAAAGCATGATTTCATGAAAGAAGTTCAGCTTTATCGGATGAAAGTTTCAACCTTATTTACTCCTACGTCTAAAACAATGTTGGAAACATCTCATCCAAGTAAGGTTGCTACTATTATTTATTTTTCTTATCTATAAAACTTTCAAGATAATATCACTTTTTATGAATTTATTTTTTAGGAGTTTGGTGGGATTATTGTGGAAATCCTCTTCCTGTTTTGAAGAAGTATGCTATTCGAATATTGAGCCAATCATGTAGTTCTTCAACATGTGAAAGAAATTGGAGTGCATTTGAAGTTGCACAAACAAAGAAAAGAAATAAATTGGCCACCACAATGTTGGAAGATCTTGTGTATGTTAGAATGAATACCATGATGATGGAGAAGTTTAATATTATGGAAGCTCAAGATATGGTTCCAATTGATCTACACAAGCTCCAAGATCTCCCGAGTATTGTGATCCACCTACTGATGATGGGGAAAATGATCCATCAGCTGCTGAAGATGACAACACAAATAATGATGCATCAATTACGAAGATCTCTCTTAGTTGGATGCTAGCACTCCTACATAGACTATCTGGACTTTATATTTTATTAGTTGAAACTTTCTTGGGTAGCTTCATTTGCTAGACACTTTCAAATTTGGAACTCGTACAATTGGTTTTGGTGTCAGGCAAGAATTGGAGTTTAAGTTATTTTGGTGGAGTTTTAGTTCTTTTGGCAGGTGGAACTCTTAGAACAATTTCTTTTTTGGTTTCAGCTTTCTTTGATAGGATTTATACTCCATTTATCTTGATTTTAAACCTGGGGGATGTGGCCGCTCTATTTTATAATTACTTAAGTTTGAGATTTTTATACACCCGTACTTTTGTTAACGTATCTATAATGAAAATCCGTATTATACACGTAAAATTCTTAAGACGTATATTTAAAATGTCCGTTTTTTGCCGAATCTTTTAATCTTACTATTAGTTCAAAATGAAGTATTATTCACATACATATTTTTACCGTACGATACCCGTACCGTATTTTACTAACTATGTCTGCAGGATAAGGTGTTTACAAGAATGGCTCTTTGGATTGCGTTGGAGTGGTCACTTGTGTGGGAAGGTGGATTGTAGGCATGGTGGCCAGGGGTTGGTTGATTTATCGGTGAAGATTTTGCAGGGTTGCTTTGTTCTTGGGGAGCTGGCAGGTCTTTGTGACTGTGTGTCGAGTCTTTTGTTCGCCTGTTCAGTGCTTATTCACTGTTAATTTTAATTTTGAGTGGGTTTTGTGCTCTTTGAATGGCAAGGTTGGTCCGACCCAATTCTGATTTGTTTTATTTTATTTTGCTTTGTTTTCACAAGGGGTGGTCTGGTCCACTTTGTTGTTGTTTTATGGTTCGTTTTTCGTTTATTTTCCTGTTGCTCTTGTTGCGGTGTCTAGTTCAATTCTTATGAACTATACTCGAGCTCGGACTATGTATTTTGGTTCTTGTTTTCTCTTGTTTAATGCATTTCGACCGCCATTATCAAAATTACCCACTTGCCCCACCCTCACATTGTGACCAAAACCTCCCCCTCTCCCTCTTTTCGCTATTTTCCCACCTTTCCCTCCCACCCACCTTGTGGATGGTCTTAGCCAATGAAACTCATTTCCGTGGAAATTTTGATTGTTTGGTTGCTATTTGAAGACAAAAAATATAAAAAAATAAGAAATTTAAATCCTAATAGTTATATAATAAGGAAATCGAAATAATGATTATAAACCATCAATTAAAGTGAAACTAATTATTTCAACTATAAAAAAAGAGTGTCTCGGAAATTACTCAAATTTTATCAGAATGTTCGTATTGAATTATCATGAACAAAAATATGCAATTTAAATTCGAAAACATATCTAAAATACGGAAGAATTAAACAAACAACCAATCACACAAGACAAAGATCTACGTGGTTTCCCTGTTCTATGTGAACGGAACTAGTCCACGGAGAGTGCAGCTCCCAGATTAGGCTTTTATTATCTGTCTTTTTCTGGTTATTTCAGATAGAATGACAACAGGCATTATATACCTACTGATGAGGGTTAAGAAATAAACTGGGACACTTAAGTCCCAAAACAAAAATAAACAATGTAGTGATCACGACTTGTCTACCTGTGTCACAGCCTAAACGCTGCACTCCACTCCCAATACTCCCTCTCAACCGGAGGCATGAATGTCGAGCATGCCAAGGAACGAAGATAAATGAATTACTCGGCACCCAAGCCTTTAATGGATTAATTGGCAACTGCTCATATGTAGATATTTTCCGGAGGGAAAAGTCTAAGAATGCAATGTGCTCAGGCACAAAGTAGTCATCCATATTCACATGTTTTGTCCATTCATGAAAAACTAGATTGGTTGCGATATGCAATGCAACCTGATTGTCACAAATCACAATGAAGAGGAGTAGGGACAGTCGACCGAATTCCAAGCTCTAGCAGCAGCCAACGAAGCCAGATGACTTTGCTGGCCATCGCGCGATACTCTGCTTCAGTTGAAGAACGAGCTACCACCGTTTGCTTCTTGGTTCGTCAAGAAATCGGAATAGCTCTCAAAGTGATGAAATCGAATGCCGAGTTTGCTGACATCCACCCCAATCAACATCACAAAAGGCAGACAAAGTAGGTGTGCCTGCGAGGGGGGAAACAAACCACGTCCTAGTGCTCATTTGAGATAGCGAAGCACCGGTTGGCAGCGTCAACATGAACCTGCCGCACACCCGCTTAACTCGGAATATTCACAACATTACATAATATCAGGACGAGTGACTATAAAGTATAACAAATGACCAACAAGACGACGATACGCGGAGGGATCCGCCGCATCTTCACATTTTAGAAGTGTGAAGCGAGGATTCTGCTCTACCGGAAATTGGCAAGGGCGTGCTCCAGTCACGCATGCATCACTTTGAATATCTAGAGCATACTTATGCTAAGTAAGAACGACTCCATTAGAAGAACGCGAAACTTCAATGCCTAAGAAATACATCAGCTCCCCGAGATCTTTAATGTTGAACTGCTGATTTAGGAAATCCTTGACTTCTAGATTTCTAGTAAGGAATTGCCTCCCAAAATTATGTCATCAACATAAATTAGGGCAACGAGGAAACATCCCCTTTCCAATAAGTAAAAAGAGAGTGATCAGCACACGACACTTTAAAACCATACTAATAATAGCATTGATGAACTTTGCGTACCAATTCCTGGAGGCTTGCTAGAGACCATATAGAGACTTTCTCAAACGACAGACTCAGTGGTGTCCCAGACGAGCAAAGACGTGCGGAACACACATACAAACATCTTTTTCACAAATTTTGTGAAAGAAAGTATTATTGACGGTTAGTTGATGCAAGAACAAACCACGCTAAGCCGCAAGAGTAATAAAACAATGACCATTGACCAGTTTAGCCACAAGTGAAAACGTATCATAGAAGTCAACTCGCTCAACCTATGGAAACTCCTTTGCTACCAATCAAGCCTTGTAGCGCTCGATATTCCCATCGCGACTATATTTAATCTTGTATACCCACTTTGAGTCAATAATGCGCTTTCAAGGGGGTGGAATCTACAAACCCCATGTGTCCTTAGCTTCCAGGGATACGACGTCAACCTGCAAGGCGTAGAAGGAGCGGGGCTCAACCACTTTGGAAATTGCTGCAACATAAGCACGTTGATTAAGACAAATGTGCATAACTAACAACAACACTCAAAGAGTATTTACTATAAGAGGTATGACAAGTGTTAGAGGAAAGAAGGTCGACCTCATAATTTTGAACCAAAAATCCGAACGACGACTTGCACGATCGCCGCGACGAATTACGAGCTCAACATGAGGGTCAAGATGAGGTGTTGCTCGCCTGGGGGTGGGGAAGAAGGAGTCACTGGCAACTTTGAGTTGTATGGGGGAGTATGAGAAAGGAGCAAATCTTTCTCTGCATAAAATGCTTCATGACGAGGGACGGGAGACAAAAGCTCACGGTGCCCAAATGAAGGAGCAAAAGGAATCTGGTCTTCCACAAAGACCACGTCGTGAGAAGTGAACAACAGTCGGATGGCTAGCTCCATGACACGATACCCTTTTTGAGTCGTTGGATAGCCCATAAAAACGCATGCTCTCCTCCTTTCGGCAAACTTATCCAGGTGAAGGTAGTATCTTTGGTGTAGGCAAGGCAACCAAAAGCAAACGGATGTGTGTGGGTAGGTTTGCGACAAAAGAGATGTTCATAGGGAGTACGTTTTTTAGTGACTGTAGTGGGAAGTAAATTGAGAAGGTAGGTAGCCGTCAAGATACACTCGCCCCAAAAATCTATAGGGAGGTGTGCATGAACACGAAGAGCTCGTGTTGTCTCTAACAAATGCCGATGCTTCCTCTCAACGACCTCATTCTGTTGTGGGTATTGACACAAGATGTTTGAAGTGTGATTCCATCATAGTCATATTAATCATCAAGCTCATGTGTATGGATTTCCAAGCCATTGTCTGCCCAGATGCGAGTCACCTTACCCGAAAATTTTCGGACAACATGCTGATAAAACATTTTCAAGTAATGATCCGCCTCGTAGTTGAAGCGTAACAAATAAATCCAGATACCTCGACTGTAATCATCAACAATAGTCAAAATTAAGATGCCCCGCTCAAGAAAGTTGTATGATATTCATTCCAAATGTCTACATGAATCAACTAAAAAATACGAGTAATCTTGATAGAATGCGTAGGAAAAGGAGTGTGGCATTGTTTAGCCCTCAACAAGCTTGGCAATGACTCTGAGCTAGCCGACTACTACTAGGAAATAAAATCAACATCGACAACTTGTCAAAAGCATATGATGCCCAACCAAAAGTGCCACAAATCAGGAGAACTACCGGTATTCTTTTGAACTGCAAGCACCATAGCGAATCAAAATTCATTGAATAACCGCAAGTAGTATGAACCATTACTTTGTTTCCCCATCCCAAACATCTGCATGGAGTGTAAGTCCTGGATGACGCAGAATTCATGTTAGAATATAAATGCTAATTGGAAATCCTTAGTTAGTCGACTCACTGACAACAAATTACACTTAAAATTCGGAACCAAGAGAACCCGCGGCAAAACCATGCCATTTTGCAGCTTCACTGAACCAATAGATTGTACCCAACTGAATCCTTAGTGGGAACCTTAAGATCCAAACTCTAATCCCGACCATCCATAGCCAGTAAAGTAGTATCACTAGTAATATGTTTGTTGCACCCAGAATCTAAAATCCACGACTTAGTGAAAGAGAGCATATACCTATGGAAGTATGCTCGTTGGCAGTCATGGGCTCAGGATCAAGTTGTAACTCGTCCCGGTTGCCACCGCTACTCTCGGTCCAACTCGTCGTCCATCGCGCTGATGAGATTTGCCGCCATTTCTCTTGCCACCACCGCGATCAGTGCCACCTAGAGGATAACCGATCAGTTCAAAACATCTTTCCTTATTATGGCTCGTCTTCTAACCATGAGAAAATTTTAGGAGGGGGCTTGTATCAATGTTCTCAAGACCTAACACCCCCCTCCCCCCGGCGGCTGCCTTACCCTGTTATTGAGCGTCCGTAACGCAGTAACTTCAACACGTGGTTTGCGATTCTGAGCAATTTTTCATTATTGTTCATCGATTACCACCATGTTGAACGCCTCCATAATAGTCAGAGTTTGCTTCATGGAGAGAATTTGATATTTCACAGTAGCAAACACGTATTCCAATGCCATTATGAAGTCGAAAAAATGAATACTCTCATCTCGGTTATGAGTATGTTTCTTCAAGTTTCAAGTGCATTGGCCACATGTACAGGTTGGTGTGGGCGAGATTTGCCAAGCTTCCTCCCACAAGAAACAAAGCTCAGTATAGTAAGTAGACACAGATAGCTTCTCTTGAGGCAACTGCCTATTAGGCGACACAACTCATAACGACGGGCGCACTTCCTTGATCAAAGCACATACGGAGATCGTCCCATATCTATTTTGCTTTTTTGTGAATCGAATGTTTCGCCTAACCTCGGTTGTCATTTAGGACTTTAGCCATCCTTTGATTGTTGCATCACAACGCAACCAAGCCACAATTCTCGTTCTTCCTTTGGCTGTGACAACGTTCCGTCTACAAAACACAATTTGTTTTTAGCCAAAACAGAGTCCTGCAGAGCTCCTAGCCATTAGAGACGCTATTTCCACCAGCACATGAAGATCTTTGACTCGCGTGATAGTCGAAGGTGATTCCGAAGTGGTCGTCAAGCAGATCCGGCAAGGCTTCATAGAAGACTCGATTAGTGGTCCGGTGCTACGAGAGTGTCGTCAGATCCTTAGCTCTTTGTCCATTTGTATAGAGTTTAGGGCGGTACCTAGAACTGCCAACAGTGCTGCCCATAGAGTGGCGCGTAAAGCACTGCTTTTGTCTCGTCTAGAGCTAGAATATTTCGATTTTTTTGGGTGGCTTCATTAGAATATATTGTAAGGGGTCCTGGGTAGATTTGTATGAATAACTCTTGTCCTCTATTGATATCACTCAGAAATAAAAAATAAAATATCTATTACCCAGTCACCATAATTCCCTGTTGGAATATAATAAACATAATTAACGTCAAGGAATTACGTGACTTATCATTGCCGCCTAACCCAGAAACGCCCTTATGATCGGCGCTTATACTGCAACCACTTCGGCGGGATGGATTTCGTCAAGATTAGACAAAAAGAACATATAGGATATCACCGCTCTGATACCATGTAAAATACAGAATAATCGAAGAAACAACCAATCACACAATATAACGAAATATGTGGTTTCCTCATTCGATGTGAACGGGACTAGTCCATGGAGAGTGGCAGCTCTCGGCTTAGGCTTTTATTATTTGTCTTTGTTACCTCAGATACAATGACAGTAGGCTTTATAAGCCTACGGATTAGGGTTAAGGAATAAACCAGGACACTTAAGTCCCAAAACAAAAACAATGCAGCGGCCACGGCCTTTCTACATGTGTCACGACCAAAACGCTGCACTCCACTCTCAATAACATAAGTTTAACTATTCATAAGTTATGATTACTAAATACTAAACAGAAAATTAGAGTCTCAGGATTGGAGTTGTTTATGTTTTCGAGTAGGCTAAAATGTCATTTTAGCCTTAAAACCCCTAATTTTAACCTTTGTGGATAGCCTTATCAGCTACTACATCTATGCTGGCTGATATAGCTTGAGAGTGGACACATGATCATAAATGAAATTGTACCCAAAGAAACAACTACCTTTAGATTCCTGACTTGATGCGGGCATCCAGCAGGAATGAACACAGCTTCTCCAACTTTCTGCTGGAATGTCCAAGCCTCCACTCCTACAGTCATAGTTTATAAGGACAGCTTAGGAAAAAGCAGCATAAAGCCATAAACAGATGATGTTGGGAACCACAGAGAAGATAATCGAGTGGTTTCCTCCTCTCTAGCACTCACCAAATTCCTGCTTCAATCTCTTCTTATGCTCCAATGTTAAATAAAAGCATTGGTCATGAATTGGATGGATGACCTGTGTTTCAAAAGTAGGCTTTAGCATATTTAATAATCATCTCCCCCGGTTGCAACTAACAAGAGGCATCATGCCGTATCAGCTAACCTGCTTCACAGGACAACAGTATGTGTGCCTGAATTCTGTGGAGTGCTTTCTAAGATATTCCTCCAATTTGGGGACGTCCTCCCTCCTGAAGATATCCCATAGAGCACCAATTGTGTCCTCTGTTTGTTCTGTCTGCAAACCCATGCATCCAGACTCTTCCGAATCATCGACTCTCCTTTCGGTGTCAGCAGAATTCTTCTTTGCTTCACTATTAATTCCCCTACTGTTATGACTGTCCCTAATATTTTGTGCTACTTGCTCTTTTCTATCCTGCTCACTGTGCAACTGCTTCAAACGCTCAATGGCAAATGATTGCTCTTCGTTTACCTCTACCTCAGCCACATGAGTCAAAATATTCACCTGTAATAAATGAAAGGTCTACTTCATATTGATTGAAAATGAAGAAGAGAGTACGTGTAATTAGGGATGGCAATGGGTCGGGTTGGGTCGGGTTTTGCCAAACCCAAACCCAAACCCATGGGTTTATCTTTGAAAAAAACCCGGGGTAAAATCCACTGGGTTTGAAAAACTCAAACCCAACCCAACCCGTTGGGTATCCGCGGGTTCATGGATACCCACGGGTTTTGTCGTAAAAAATTTACAATTACAAGTTCTTATCAAAATTAAAGTCAAATATCAATCTCTCAATACAAATTATCCATATATAAAACACCATTCTAGAAAATTCAAGCAAATCACAAATTAACTATACAAATTGTTCAACACCAATCTAGAAAACTCAAAAAAATTGAAGCAAATCACAAATTTTCCATAAATAACATGTTTAATTGAAAGCTTCTTCCTTTTAATTAAGTTTCTTTACTCTCCACTCCATAACATCAACTTCATTCTACACAATTAAAAAGAAAAAATTAGACATGTCTCCACAAACATAAATAAGATTAGTTGTTGAGAATATTAAATATACCGAAAAAATTAATTATATGGGTGGGCGGGTACCCACGGGCCGAGTTTACCTAAACCTAAACCCAACCCGTTGAATAGTGAACGGATTTAAACCCAAACCCGGCCCAAAACCCGTCAACACGAATTTTACCCGCGTTGACCGGGTTGGATCGGGTGGGTACCCGTGGGTTCGGGTTTTGTTGCCATCCCTACGTGTAATGTAAGCGACAGTAAGAAATAAGCAAAGGCACAACCAAGAGAAGGATTAGTCGTATTAGCATACCGCATCTGACATATCACAGTGAAGCTTGGTCACAGAGTCACCTCTGCCAAGCTCTTCCTTCATCCCATATGCAATATAAGTTTTGGGACCCATGTCGGGTTTCAGGAGGACATGGGGAAACTTGACAGCAAGGTTTAGAATGCCCGCTTTTGGATCACTGTATTCTTGAAATGGAAGTGCACTGATAAACTCGTCACAGTGACGAGGCAAAAGATCTTCGAATTTATCAGAAGGGGGCCAATCCTTTAGCTTCAGCATCTCAGGCCAAAGATTGAAATATCTTCTCCCATCAGTATAGCCTTTGAAAAACATACGGGTGTTGATTTCCACCTGCATGTTTTGACTAAGTCAGCACAAAAGCCATAGGCAATCACACTTTAATCAAGCTAACAAAAATTTATTTGATGATCAAATCAAGTGATTGGCAGCAAATGCTTTTGATTAACCTCGCAAGCAGCCAGGCAATCGATGGCCTTTACTTGAGACATCTTTGAACTAATATCGGAATTGGCATTCTCGCATAAGGCACGCATCATCACCCTTGGCTCCCAGCTTAAATGAGTAGTTGCATCGAGTACATCACGAACAATAACGGGTTCCCCTTTTGCCCAGTGCTTCTGAAAGTGAAGAAGATCTTCCTCCTCTATAATGTCCTCTGAAACAGGGCAGTACAAGTAATCATCCTCGGACGCTTCTCTCGAAGCTGCTCTCCTTACCATTTCTCTCCCGGTTTCACCACATTTGCAAGGCAGGCTCTGCTGTCTAGTGTCGCAAGTCCCAAGGAACTTCCTTGCTGTCTCAGTCAAATCAGAAATACATCCAGTCGGGAAGATACGCTTGAGTTGCAATACCGAATCACCACAACCCCCAATCTCTTCAGGAGGACAAGGGATGCTCCCATCCTTGTTAGCATTCCACAACAATGCAATCGAAGGTTCGGTCATACCTTCAGGAAATTGAGAAGGAAAATAATTCAATGGATCTCCACCATGCATATAGTCAAGGCCATGATCTACATACTGGAACTTCATCTCAGTACGACTCAAGATGCTGCCATCCCGGATCTCTTGACAACAACCGAGGCACAGTTCGAAGTTGCATTTGGGGCAGCATCGATGAAAGTCAACAATAGAGGTTGCACAGTAGTTGCTGCAAACGAAGATGCAGCAGCGGTAAGCATACAAGTTCTCTAACAGTGAAACACACACTCCTACGTTACTCCAAGCAGGGAATGAAGGAAGGGTATGTTACCAATAGACTCGCTCATCATTGTTACAGAAGTTCTCGGGTACTTCAGAAGGGGAAGCTGGGTTGACACACAGGCCTTCAGTTTTGTATAGCAGAAAAGAGTATGAACATTCTTAAGCCAGATTCACAGAAAAACGGCATGAGAAGGGTTTACCAGAAAAGGTAGCATCTGCTAGTCTTTCCTGTTCTTGTTGGTCACAGATTTGTTGAAGGAAGGGAAAAAGTGAGTTGATAAGATAACCCAAATGCCGAATCTTTTCACAGGGGGAGAGCTCCCTTCTGGAGGTCTAAAAGGTTTGTGAACAATGCTGCTGTTAACTCCAATGTCACAATGGCGATTCGGTGAAAGAGGAGAGACTTGGGGAGTTACCTTGATCAGGGTAGCGGAGTGAAGACACGCATTGCAGTTGCAATTTCTCCGACAGAGTGGGCACTGTTGTGCTATATCTACATCCGTCAGCTCAGGATACCTGCATCAATTGAACACAACTTCCCCCCATCACTTGCTGTCCACCATTGCTCTTTCGATTTTAATTCACTTCATCAGTGTTTAAATGTTCACCATAGCTTGATGCATCTCAAGCAATAGAGGTTGGCACAGTTGAAGCACCGAACGTAGAGTTGCCTCTCAGCTTTCAAGCACTGATGGCATCTGTTGATCGCCGGCGCCACGGCAGCTCCTCCTCCTCCTCTAGACCGCTTAAGGAAATTAGACAGGAAGAAGCACACATTCACACGTTTGTTTACAGTTCATTGCAATTCCATAAGCAGAGCAATAACTTACGTTGAATTAACAAGAAAGCACCTGAAGAAGCCTCGCAGAGGAGGCGGCGGCGACGTTTAACGGAGGTGTTTCTGGAGCTGCAGCGGCAGACGAAGACGACGATGATTTCGATGACGATGGTGACGAACCGGAAGAAGAGGAAAGCGACCTGGCTCTGCCGCGATCTCTGATATTGGAGATGGAGAGTCGCTCCATGAGCAAGTCGGAATTATTCGAAACGGAATCGTCGTCGGAATCAGGGATTAAAGCGATCCTCCGCCGCTTAGGAATCGCCGTCGGGGATTGGGAGCGAGACGCGCCAGTTTTCTTCTTATTTTGATTGTTATTGTCCTTCTTCGTCCTCTTCCCGCGCGATGGAGCCGGTTTAGCTCCGGCAGAAATCGGCAACCAGTCGTCGTCGTCGTCGAAAACAATGCGATGCCTGATGTTGGGGGAGGGGAATCCGATGCTGCTACTGCGACGCCGGTGGTGGTGCGGCGGAGGAGGAGTTCGATTCAGGCGATGCGGCTTGGCGATCTTTGCAGCTGACATTTGTGTTCTTCTTCTTCTTCCTCACTGCGATTAGAAAACGGGAATGTAACAGTAAACCCCCTGAAATTGATTGGTGGAGAAAGAACCGAGGTTGACTGGGGGAGAGAAAAAGGTCAGCTCAATTCCATGAGATTGTGGGAAAGGGGAAGAGACCTGATGAAGCAGCGGGCGGAGAGCGGATGGGGGAATTCGATCTCGGAGAGAAGGAAATGGGATAATCGCCGGTGGTGGAGCGGTGGCGGAGTGGGGAAACGGAGGGTGGCGGCCGCTGGTTTTTAGGTTCTTTCTGTTAGAATTAGTACCCGAAGGGGCCTTGGAGTCGGAGAAGATTGTGACGTTTTCCCCGTTTGTTTAAGGAGGGTGAATGAATGAATGAATGTAATAATGGAATTGGACAAAATCTTGCGCCATCAGTCCGACTGGGCTGACTCGCATTCACTCCTTCACTTCACCGTTATTAAAATAAAACTAGTTTTTTGGCCCGCGCTCTGCCGCGGTAAGAAACTAATGATTTATTTGAAATCAAATCATTCACAAAATTATTCGAATAAGATACCTACCTAAATTTCACGTATAATCATTGCGAATAACATGTCATTTGTTTGTGTAAGTGATACATAATAAATAACTGTCCCTACATAAGGTTTACGTAGTGTTTAATCATTATGTAAGATTTACATAATATTTTGTTAATTGATACATACAAAATGATAATATGTTCATAAACTTTACATAATGTGTTAATCGTTAAGAAAGACTCATGTAATATCTTCGCTTACATAATAGCTATCACTTTATAAAATTTACTTTGTCTAGTGTCTATAAATTTTAAAAATGAATTTGTAATTTATTTAATCGTTATATAATGTTGTTAATGTAACTGATATAGAATTTTTATATATAAATTTTTCATAAAATGTGGTCTAATAATAAAATCAAGTTATAGAAACTAATATTTTTAGTGAATTTGTAATTTATGTAATTGTTATAGATGTTGTTACATAAATCTTTCAACATGTGCGGAGCTGAAAATTAGAAAACTATCGAAAGCATTAATATACGACTCTGACACAAGTACTAAGCAATAACTGACTAACATAATTTTGTTAAAAAGGAAGAAAAAGGTGAAGCGAGAATTGGAGGGAAAGAAATTCAAGTTTGGTTTGGGTGACCACTCGATTACATTTCAAATTATTTTCTAAATTACCCTTCTTTTCGGTGACATGTGACAATTCGATCTCTCTAGTTTTTATATATGAAAAACTTCTCCTTGTGTGGCAGGTATGGTGAATGTATGACTCTTGAATATGGGGCGGGGAGACCAAAATCATACTTGTCTCATAAAACTTGCCCATACTCAGTCAATGTGGAAATTTTCTGCGTTGACTGGGTTGGGAGTGGTTGGGTACCCACGATTTGTGGTTTTGATTTGCATCCCAAGTGTAATTGGTAAATAAGAAATAATTATTTTCTGTAACCTTTGTAACCTTTATGCAGTATCTTAAAAATTTCAAAACAATTTTTTTGGTAAAAATAATGCTAAAAGAGCATCCTTGCCATTGCGGAAGACTAACATAATTTTTTTTTTAACTAATACATAAGAAATAACTATATCCTTATAAGTTCTAAGTAGTTTATTTATAAAATTTCAACTAAATATTTGTTTATTTGTAATTTATGTAATTGTTATAGAATGATGTTACTTAATGTGTGGTCTAATAATAAAATCAAGTTTCAGATGTTGCTTAATGTGTGTTCTAATAATAAAATCAAGTTTCAGAAAGTTTCACATTTGTAAATTAACTTACCTTACATTTGATTAAATTATCATGTAGAATTAGTGTACCTTTCATAACTTTTATGCAATGCAAATTGATGTAATGATCAATAATAGTAAAGGAATTTTCGTTCAAACTTATATTAATTCAAGAAAATGTTATAGAATGGTGTTACGTAAATGTGAAGTAATGTGTGGTTTAATAATAAAACCAAATTATGAAAAGTATTGCATCTTATTAAATTGTTATATAAAAGTTAACAAATTTTAAGTGGTGTCTTAATAATTAGGATTCAAAAAGTGGAATTTGGCCCTCTGCTGGCATGGACTGGATGCTTATGATAATAGATGTAATTGAAAAATGTAGCAAGAAGTATAAAAAAGGGGGATTTTGGCGTTCTCGGGAGGTTGGGAAGTTTGGGTGGGTGCTGCTGCAGGGAATAATGGCCTTACTGAACAGTGGCACGGGGAGATTTTTTCGTGATGAACAGTGCATTAAACTTGCACTTTTAATTAATTAATAGTTCTTACCCAATAAATAGTTAGGGTTGCATTATTTCGTTCCAATTACAAAATACAAATGAACAATAATATATTTGAAAAATCTATAACAAAAAAAATATGTGCATTTAATCAACCGCACGCATGTTGGAATTTCACAGTCAATTCCACCCAACCAACGACTTCTAGTTACACTGACAATGGGTGTCTTTTCCCCCATTTTAATAGGTAGGACTTAGAGCATCCAACCATCCACAATTAGAGGTGGCAATTGGATCGGATTCGTGGATCCATGGATCAAATGGATTGGATCCAATGGATTGGTGAGTTCATGGATTGGATCAAATGGATTGGTGGATTGATCCATGAATCCAAATGACATCAAAGGCTTGGACCAAAATGTAAAATTGGAAAAGTTTAGGTACTAAAATGTCATAATGAAAAATTTTAGGTACCAAAACGTAATTTTCCAATGATATTTTTCGTATAAAAATATAAATTTTAGGTACCAAAATGTAAAATATAAAAAATATAGGTACCAAATCGTAATTTGCCATTTGGATCCATGGATTGATCCATGAATCCACCTATCCAATTGGATTTGGATCAAATGGATTGGATTTAAATGGATTGGATTATGTGGATAATTTGGTGGATGGATTGGATTGGATTCATGGATTTGGATCCTAATTGCCACCTCTATCCACAATGGGTGTCTTTTCCCCATTTTATTGTGACATGACAATTTCATTACCAATTTCATGGTTGTAGCTTGTTATTTCATCTTTAAAAGATTTCATTAGATTAAATTAAAAAAAAAAAAGATTTCATTAGATTAAATTCAATATGGAAGAGGCAAAGTGGGTCTATTTCAATTGATAAGAGACTATACAAAATGTGAATAGGATCCACGATATGAAATTGAGAGTAAATTTCATGGTTGTTGATGGTCTTAGGAGACATTAGAATAGAGAATATAGTTGAGTTCAGACTTTGAGACTCTGTTGTGAGAAATGTTGATGGTCTTGTCATGCTGACCTCTCCCAAGGTAATGCTAATTAGGCATCTAGTGCCCAGTAGGTACAGTTTTTATACCACTTCTGTCCACACGTGGCAAGCCTCCATAATTGAATTACGACTCACTCACTCGCAAGAAGCTAATTGCCAGCTACACTGCTGACACCTTTCTGTTCACACGTGGCAGACCTTGGAGGCACCAAGTGTAACTGCCATGTCAGTGATGTCACCAACTGCCCAAAACAAAAACCCGATGTTTGTGAAACCGAGCTGTACTTATGGTCGGATTTAAAAACTTCCAACCTAAACTTAAATCTGCAGACAATTTGTAGCGATATAAATAGGTTGAATCATTGTCAAATTATTCTTTCATGTAACTTTTACGGTACCGCTAACTTTATCAATACAATTATTGATACAATTTTAAAATACTTGCAAAAATCTAGCGTTGTTGACTTCCTTTTAGACACAAAAGAAGATAGGGCAATCAGAATGCATCCATGGAGGAGATACATGCCATGCAATCAAACAGTAGTGGTAGTGCTTTCGCTCGGGTTTGGGTATCCGAACCGAAACCCATGGAATCCAAATTCATTACACTTTGAAACCGAACTCGAAATCAATAAGAGACTTTTTTGATTTTAGGTTTAATTAAAGTAAACCGAAATCAAGTCAAATCATCTTAGGGAAACCAAACACTGTTTCTTTGGGTTAATGGGTTTCACGTTCTTATCTGTTTCTCGAGTTAAACCGAAACTGCTAACATGCATTCGATTTGAAACCAAACCCAAAACCGAAAGTGTTCTTAATGAATCGGTATCAATTTAAACCAAACCCGAACTGACAAGCCTAGTAGTGCACTAGTGCTTCTAATATATGTACCCACAAGTTCCACAACAAGTGCACCGCAAGTCCACAACGACGCTATACAAGAAGGAAAGCGCTGTCGTTTTACAGTTTACAGGTTCTCTCCACCGCTACTTATACAAGGTACAACAACCTCGGGGTTCTTCTACTTACAAGGCTACACTTTCTTCACTCGGCTTTGCTACGGTTCAGGAGGGCCACCCTTGGCAGCATGACTTCTCTCCTCCGACATGGACGGCGAGGACCCTGCGCTCACTCTGCTGGGAGCTGGGGTGCTCTTCCTCGACTGCCGCTTCGTCGGAACCAGCGCCGTGTCACCGTCGATCTTCCCGCTCAAGTAAGCCAGATCGCCATCCTCATCATCCTCCACGTCGTCGTCGTTTTCATCCGCGCTCTTGAAAACCGGGTGAACATACGCCTGCTGAAGGTATCCCTTCAGGTTCAGGTTGGGTTCCCTGGCCCGCTCCAGAGTGTCCTTCATCATCGCTTCCTGCAGCGGGTACCTGACGAATGCTGGTTCGTATCTTCCCTGGCAGAATCTGTAGAACCAAAATGTCAGCACAGGCAGAGCAATTAGAAATGGAGTGGCCAGTGCTGCTCCCTTGGTGCTCAGCAGCCCCATCATCAGCAGCTGCGCGATGATCAGCGCAATGAGCACGCGACCATGGACGGCTGGCCAGAATGATGCTGCGCTCTCGTACTCTTGGTTGTACACATTTATGATCTGCAGCGATGAGAGTTTGGACATTGCTCATAAATTAACTTCACACAACAACCATCAGAACCACAACTGGCTTATAGAAGATTGTTATTAGGAGGGAACTTGATTAGTTAGTTACCTGGTGGCGGAAGACAACGTAAGCAAAGGCAAAGAAGATGATGATGAAGGGGAGGAGGACAGGAGTCACGGTTGAATAGACAAGCCCCAGGAGGAAATAGAACTGTATCCGGGGCTCTTTTATGTTGAAACCAAGACTCCCCGGGTCCATAGCTTCTTCTCTATCCTTTTCAGTCTTCACCAGGAAGAAGTTCTTCAAGTGGTAAAATATCAACGGCTTCAACATTAAGATTTCTCCAGCAACGCCGGCCCAGCCATCGACCATTATG